TAAGGTGTCTGCTCCCCCTGCTACTACCCTCCTTGGCTACTACCCCCTCCCTCCAGTTTCTGTCCCACTGTCAGCAGTGCCTGCACCCCCCTGCCTGGTACCCCTGCTGCCTTCCCCTCCCCGTGACCTCTGCTCCTGGCTTCCATTCCATCCTTCCCTTCACTGGTCCTTACCCTCTGGCTCTGGCATGGCTCCATGCCCGGGCATAGAGTACTTGGTTGCTCCAGCACCAGCCAGGCCATGCAGCAGCGGGCCACGAAGCAGCGACTGCTGTCGCCACTGCTGTATGCTCAGGCTGAGGCTGGAGCAACCATGTGCTCTGTGCCCCAGACTGAAGCCCTGCTGGAGTTGGAAGGTAAATGGCCGTGACAGCAGGAGAAGGTAGAAGTTGTGGCAAGGTAGCAGCAGTAGCGGGCAGAGGATGGGGGGGGGGGGGGGGGGGGGTGGGGGGGGGGGGGAGAAGTGGCTGTGGCTCCAAACCTGACCCCAAGCCAGAGCCAGAGATGCAGCAGCTGTGTGCCCTCCCTTCCCAGCCACATTTTACTCAAATCCAAGACAGGACCTGTTTCCCCACTTTGCTAAATAGAGGGGAAAGAAACTTGTCTTGGATTTGAGTAGATGTAATGCTACAGGTTCTGGCCACATACAGACATTGTTTCTCTTGGGAGAGGCACTGCTCTCCCACTTGTAACCATGAGTGCGCAGATATTCAGGATTTTTCTCCCAGAAGTAAACAACTGCTCTAGGGCTAGACTGAATGTGTAGCCTTTCAATAATAACATACTTTTGCAGGAGTTTATGGGAATGCACCTGCGTACCTTTTGTGTATTGGGCCCGGAAGCATATATAAAGCTCTTCAACTTTAAGTTGTTTTGACCCACTAACTGATTATCACAGTTGTTGTGACACCTTTAACAGACAAGGTCACTAGTTTCAAAGACCAAGAATCACTAGGGAGAAAAACACTAGGAAGGCTGAGTATTCTTTACAGACAGGTAGGCTTCATTTTTGCTCAGTACAACATTATGTCATAAACATGGAAAATAAAAACTATAATAGCAATTTTTCATGTGAACACATGCTTTTACATTAAATAAAGTATTATAAGTGACAAGAGTACAGCTAAGCCTAAAAGAAAGCTCTCTCTCCATAACATACTTGTGCACACAATTCTTAAGTTTGTTTAAGGCTTTACTCACCTCACAAGGCTCATAAGAGCCTTATGAGCAGGGAGCAGGGTTTTCCATTTGCTGTGGAAAAACATGGATTTTTTCCTTTAAAGGAGAAAAACATGGCAAACCACAGGTTTCTGCTTGCAGACTGGCAGAGTTCCAGCCTGCAATGGATTGCTTGGGGTGGTGGGAGTGGAAGGAGGCTGATTGGACATAGGGGGCGCAACATGCATGTGTGCATGGCAGTGTGGCTGGCAATATAGCCCCAGGCAGTGGTGAAGAGCAGCCCTCCCAGCTGCCTGCAGGTAAGTCTATGGGGGGAGGGGACATAGGAGATGTGTGGAGGCATGAGGGGGTGTGCAGATTAAAGCGGTGGAGGTGGCTCATGCCAAGCCTCCACAGTGAGGGAGTGGGTCAGGGTTGGCAGCTGGTGTTGGGGGCTCTGTACAGCCAAGGCGATGCATGGGGCCCAGGGCTGGAGCAGG